CAGCTTCACATAAATGTTGAACAGAAAGGGCGAGAGGACCAACCCTTGTGGCACCCCACATACAAGGGGCCTTGGGGTCGACCTCTGCCCCCTTGTCAACACAGACTGTGACCGGTCGGAGAGAAAGGAGAACCACCACAACACGGTGCCCCCCACCCCTAACTCTTCCAACCGGTGCAGCATGATACCATGATCGATGGTATCAAAAGCCGCGGAGAGGTCTAATAGGACCAGGACAGAGGAGCAACCCCTGTCCCGAGCCCTCCAGAGATCATCGACCAATGCGACCAATGCTGTCTCCGTGCTGTACCCAGGCCTGAAGCCCGACTGGAACGGATCTAGATAAGCCGATTCATCCAGGTACTGAGGAAGCTGTCACGCACCACACTCTCAACAACCTTCGCAACAAAGCGAAGGTTGGAGACTGGACGATAATTAGCCAACACTGCCGGGTCCAGGGAAGGCTTCTTGAGGAGGGGCCTCACCACCGCTTCCTTCAAGGCGGCGGGGAAGACACCCTCACTCAAGGAAGCATTTATAATCCCCTGGAGCCAGCCTCGCATAACCTCCCAGGAGGCCAGCACCAACCAGGAGGGACATGGGTCCAATAAACATGTGGCTGTGCTCAGTCTATTCACGTGTCCACGTCTTCGGGAGTCACGGAATCAAACTCTTCCCAGGTAATATTCTCAAGACCTGCCTCCATCATCCCCCCTGAATCTACCCAGTCAGAGTCCAGGTGTTGCCGAATCTGAGCGATTTTGTCATACAGATACTGTACAAAGTCCTCGGCTCTACCCTCTACCCTCTACCCCAAACATGCAGGAGTACAATTATGAATGCATCTTATCACTGAAATCTTGAATCACATCAGGAAGAAGAATAAGCTTCAAAGCTTTCTCTTCAATATGCTGGCTTTCAGGTGTTGATATTACAACATGCTGTGGCACATGACTGTTATTGCAAAACTGGTATATTTAACTTTATTAAAACTAGTTCAAATAAATGGAAATGCTGTTCATCTAGCTTTTATAGGGGAGGCTGAGATCTTTGAGAGAGTCCCTTTTGTTATAATTAAAATGTGCGAGGGTGACTGCTTTCAGATTTTGAAATGCTTTGCTAACACAAGTCTCCTTTCTTTTACTTTTTAATCAGTTTGAAAAATATTGTTATTAAGGCAAGTCTCTGTTATCTAAAAGGAGACGTGGTGGCTCAGTGGCTAAGATGCCGAACTTGTCGATCAAAAGGTCGGCAATTCAGCAGTTCAAATCCCTAGTGCTACGTAACAGGTAAGTTCCCATTACTTGTCCCAGCTTCTGCCAACCTAGCAGTTCGAAAGCACATAAAAAATGCAAGTAGAAAAATAGGGACGTTTGGTGGGAAGGTAACAGCGTTCTGTGTGCCTTTGGCATTTAGTCATGCCGGCCACATGACCACGGAGACATCTTCGGACAGTGCTGGCTCTTTCAGCTTTGAAATGGAGATGAGAACCGCCTCCTAGAGTCGGGAATGACTAGCACATATGTGTGAGGGGAACCTTTACCTTTACCTTTTCCTGTTATCTAAGATAATTTGCTGGGTGGTGCTGTTCGTGTTGTAATTGTGTTTTCAATAATGTTTTTCTTATCCTTGAAACAGTAAGGGCTTTTTAAAAAACTGATCTTACTTTCTGTCAAAATCTTGAACACCAATTGCTGGTGTAAAGACAGACATAAATGAAATAAAAATCGAATAACTCTGGGCAGACAATAGTAATAACATGGGATGTGGGTTCTTCCTTGTGCCCACTCTCAAAATCAGCTATCCAGAGGCATTAGCGTTCATTGCAAAATTCTAGCTTCACAGTTCCAACAGTTACTCACAGACTGTTTGTTCTCCATTCAGGATGGAAGCAGCATCTTCTCAAGAAAGTTCTTTTTAGATACCTTGGCTCCTTTTTAATTTGAGTGATCGTATTACCATTCCATGCTATTATTAGCTAATAAGAAACTTGCCAGCCAGATAGAGAGCAGGCATAAAGCAACAATTAATTCTTTTCCATGGGCTCGTCTGTTTAGCCAGAGAAGGTATTTAAAATACTGCTAAAGCTGGCTGGATGATGTCCATGCCGACATTGCTGGCAAAGGCTGCACTTGAGATTCATTTGTGGGAGAAAAATGAAACCATAAAAGGCCATAACTGAACTCTAAGTTACTGCTCTCAGGGCTTGGGGTCACTGTAAACTTCTCTGCTTTCACTGGAAAAAAAACATTGTGTAGCTTATATTTCCAAGGGAGGAAAGAACTGTAATTTAAAGGCATTATTCTATATAGATGTTAATGAATTCTATTTTTAGCAAAAATTTGGATTTAGACAAGAAAAGAGTAAGTTTTCTAAAAAAAAAATCTTCATGTAGTGAGCAAGTTCCATAATAAACAGAACTTTCTTCTCATAAAACTGTATCATTTTTCAACACTGAAGCTACGGTGAACTTTAATTCTCTATGAGAGTTTCCTTGTTTCCTAAAAGGTGTCAGTTGAATAGACAAATTATCTAATGTGGTATCTGTGATTACGTTGTTTTACAACACTTCCTCTAATTAAATCTTATAGCTAAAATGAAGAATTATTGAATGACAATATTGAATCCCAATGATTTCTTATGCATTTGTGAAAATCTTGGAAAGTGTCTTTTCATCTTCATACATTACTACAGTATATAACTTGCTTTGATAATATTTAGAAACTTTTAAACACTGAATTATAAAATGTTTCCAATTTCATCTGCAAAGTTGAGAGCCTTTCATCAAGACTCATAAGGGTAAAAAGGGACAAGGAAGATAAATTACATACTGGGTAACTTTTTTAAAAAACACCAAACCTCAATGTAAAAAGAAAATGCATTGTTTTTGCAAATAATGTTAGTATCAGAACCATGAAATAGACAGTGGCAGCTATATTAACAAATTTTGGAAAGGAAGATTTCTAAACTCTTTTATTGACTCCTTTGGAGTTACCATCTCCAAGTCAAAACTTCCTGAAAATTTGACGTACTTTCAATATTTTGTAAATCTGCTCCTGTCTTTATGCTTTCAGATAACAGGGACCAAACTTCATAAATTTAAGATTAACATTTTTCCAGGGAAACAATTTTTCAACTTGAGTAAAAGGTGTCAATTCCCAAATCTATTGAACAAACATTTTGCTTTTCCCTTAAATAATCTAAATCACTCAATATTTTATGTTTTGTTTCTCTGCCCTTGTAGTTCCTTCATATGTAACCTGAAATATCCCAACCCTACTATTCTACTTGCTGATTTTCCTGTCTATACAGTTTTTTTGGATTTGGAATAGCCTGAAATATGCTCAACTGTAGGGAACAAAAAGAGGAAGCTATCCAATATCTTTAGTCAATCAATCAATCAAATCATCTAGCTTAGTATAGCTGCCATTAACGCACACTGCTTTCAATTTCACATTTGAAAAAAAAAGATGATCATAACTCACACCAATGGTTATTATAAACAGGCATTTTATAGCTTATACTGGTTCATGAAATTTAACTATTTTAACAGCTCACACTAATTTTCCCAGTACAATAATAAAAAACCTCCCTTCAACAACCTGACCTAATTAAGAAAAGATATTCTAGCATAAATTATAGACATGTTTAAAATGTTAGTAGATGGTTGTTGGAAAAAACAGATACAAATTTACACATTCTTATTAAAGAGATACAGATATAACAGAATTGTTGCTAAGGGAAGTAAAGCTGTCTGTTGCTGTGCTTCTTGATAACCTTCTGCCCTCAATGGCTTAAATATCTTGGCATCCTCATGAAAGGTGTTCCTGAATATCTCATACCTACTTGGGTACCCTGTGCAAAATGAGAATGGGGATTCCCCTTTCTTGTCTAGGCATTCTCAGCCAACAGCTTTGCACATCATTCTACCTATGAACAAGATCCTGATAACAGGGATAGTCCTGTCAATCAAGACAAAGAAGTGCAGAAATAAACACTGAAGTAGTTGGGCTTCCATTAATCCTGTTGTGTGCCATGGCATTAGCTACTCACATTATATTTATCATTGTGGGAGAGCCAAATACAGGAGATTGCTATATACTAAGTTAAATCTTGCTATGGTGTGCTTCTAGAGACAAATGAAAATATTAAGGGAAGCTGAAAAACATATAGGTGGGCTAGGACAAGACATGACATTTTTGGAGTGGAGTGAGGGATACAAAATAGTTGAGGTGACTTTGCTCTGTGAGAGTTCAGGCTTTAGGTTTGGGGGTTTCCATTCTGATATGCCAGTTATAGCACTTGCACTTTAATCTTTTCATAACAAAATAGTGCAAAGTTTTGTTCATAGAAATCATGATCAGAAAGAACCCCAAGAAGCAAAAGGGACTCTGAGGTCATGGTGCTCCTGAATCTACAAATTGTATAATTTCTGTTCTTGAGATATCTCCTTGAACCAGGAATACTTCACTGAAGGTGATCTCATTCATGTTTACTCAGTACAGGAGGAAGCTATTCAAAGTGAATTGAGGGAAGACTGCCCAGAATATAAGCTACTGTTAAAGACAGAAGAAAGATGAAAATGAAAGTGCAAACCTACTGCTACTGAAAAGCATGGGGGTTTCTGAGGACTGGATCAGTACTAAAAAATGATAATGGCAGCCTAGGTTCACCATTCACACTAAAAGCATGTTGGAACCAAACAGTTTAACAACCCTACAGAAGTTAAACCTAATTAATACCAGTACAATTTCATTCTACATTCTCAATCTGTATATAGTCAGTAGAAGACAGTACTCCGACTTCTTATTGAAACCATTCTTCTTATTTGTTATATATTATTTTCCTTTGAATTAGCATTGCTTTTTAAAGTTAATTTATTTTCTAACATCTAATTAGATATATAATTAGATAATCAGCTCAAGTACTCCAAATGGAAATACAACCTGATTCCAGAAACATGAAAAACAAAAATATAACCATCATTTTTTTGTACTTACCTACAACTGTAAGATTAACTTGGGCTTGCTTACTACCCAGCTTGTTTTCCACTACTAAAGTATAACAGCCACAATGTTCCTGCTTTGTGGAGGAAATGGTTAGCTTACTGCTATTCTCAGCATTCTCAATTTTGATGTGTTCATTTTCTTGGAGCTGCCAAATTAAACAGGTTGATTAATATAGATATTCTAAAAAATATAGTAAACTAGGATTTCATAGGCTACACATATTAAAACATATTAAGAAATGTGTTTAGCTGATTATAACATTATGTCTTTTTTTGAGATCACCTCTGTATCACCTCTCATGTGATATTAATCACATTTTTAGTCAAGAAAAGCCTTAGAGAAGATGTTCCTTTCCCACTGGTAAACTTTCAACCCAAATCTCATCTAAGGACGCTTAGAATGAAGAAATTATGAACAATCTCACCCTATACATTCAAAATTTAAAACTGCACTTTCGGTGGGAAAGAGAGAAAATGACATTTTGATTTGAGTTTTAACAATTATAGTGAATTACTAATATAGAAATGACTAGTAATTCATTCATTCATTCATTCATTCATTCATTCATCTCTGAAGACTCAGGGTGGCTCACAATGCATTTAAAATCATTATAAAAACATTTAAAAATTAAAAACATTAAAACTCATTCACACCATTCATGGCCGGATCTTGCCGGATCGCAAGAGCGAGATCAACGGCTCCAGGTCTTCCGGAAAAGCCAGGTCTTCACTGCTACACTATACTATTTGGTATAACTAAAAAGTTGATACTGTAACTTTATTATGTATCTTACTGCACCAAAAAATGTCTGAAGTTACTGCTTGTTTCTTTTATTTCTTTTTCCCTCTCCCCTCATTTTATCTCCTCTATCCCCTTTCTTTTCCCTTTTTTCTATCGTCTTTATTTCTATTAAGAAAACACTTTTAATAAAAATATATTTTAAAAAATTAAAGCTATGACATAGGGGATTTTTGTTTGCTGTCAAAGTAAGCTATATCCTTAAATAAAAGTTGTTAATAGTCCCAATCATAAATTTTCTTGGAGACAATCGAATAAATATTGCTTTCCTTTGGTAGTAGTTCTACCATTTGGATTTGCGTCAGTATTACATTTTCAAACTAATTAATTATACCCAGCAAAAGCAAGAGTGGTTATAAGTACAAATAATGTATTAAATAATACCTAATATTAAATACCAGAAAGGCAATTTTAAATCACATACGCACAAAATTAATCCTAACATTTAATATTTTGCTTATTTAAATATTCTGATTTTTAACAAAATTACAAGAAACTATTCAACCAGTCCTTAAAAGATTTATTGTGGATTTTATTACTTCATTTTTTTAAATAGATCAACATTAACAGGAGAACTTGGAGCATTTACATTTCTTTGTCTTCCAAATTTGGAAATATCTAGTGAGATAATTCCATATCTACTTATGCACACAGGCTTCTTTCCACTAGTTACTGAAATCACACTAGAGACTAAGAAACTCTATCGTATTGGGAACAGGCATTATTGGCAGCTTACACTCAAGTAGCATTACTTCACCCATTACCTCCCAAATAGCATTTAACAGACTTGAAAATAAGCTCTTGAGTTTTCCCAGTTGAAACTGTTGGTCCTCCCAAATATTACAGTGGATGCCATTATTTCAGATGGGGAAGCATCAGTGAGAAATTGGTAAGCATAAATTGGAGTCAGTAAGAAATATTATTTAATTATAAGCATACAAAGAAAAGCACAGTTTATTCTAGATGTGAAAATACTTGGGTCAATGATTCTTTTGTCATTCCATTAATTTCCTGTTCGAGAATAGCTTTTCCAACTCATAGAGTTTCATTAAAAGTAAAGGCTATTTAGTTTGGCTTTTGTTTCCATAACTTTTGAGATTTTTTTTTAAAAAATCATGAACATTGTAAAACTTGTCTTGGTTAAACACCAAGCTGATCCTACAGGACAAGTAGTATATTCATAATTAGCATCAGAGAAGACAGTAGTATTTTCAATTTGCATTGTTTTGTCTTTTCTTCAAGTCCCTTCATGTCTTTTATTAGTGCTCAGCAAGTGTTCGAGATATGGAATCCAGATGTTTCATGTAACCAAAGAACTAAATACATGTATTAGACAGTATTTCATTTACAACTGTGAATTAATACAATTCCTGTATTAGGGATCTTCTGATCAATAAAATTATTAGTGATAATGGTATGGTATGATGATACTGCCAAATCCTGTAAATCTTTAAAAGAGATATTGATAAAAACATTCAACACTTTGACAAACACCAAGTTTGTCAACAGCTGTTCTGTGCTGGTGCATGTAATAGTTGTGTACACTTGTGTGTCCCTGAATTGAATTTCATGATCATTATGTTGTAGCACATTTTCCACTACTGATGATTTTTTGAGTTGTCTGAATCTGTAGTACCTCTTGTGTTATTTCAGTCAAGTACGGAAATTGTTTTGTGGTATCAATATACAACTGCCAAGTGCTAAAGGTAGACTTTGGATGCTGTGAGTGGGGTCTCTGCCATCCTTGGCCTTTCTGGATTTTTTTTTTACTCCACCAAAACAATACTGTTCAAGCACAAGAACCAATCATAGATAAGCCCTTACCTGCACCAATTAGAAATCATCTTGGCTAAAGACCAATCAGAAGTCAGGTCACCCGGCTATAAAAATGGGAAGTTTTGCTCAGTTTCTGTGGCCTGAATCTCTGAAGATGCCAGCCACAATTGCTGGTGAAACATCAGGAAATGGTTGTCTAAACCACAGTCACTAAACACCTGAAGGTCAATATTATCCAACAGATGTTGCCCACTTTACATTAGTATAATGAAGAATATAGCTGTCTTCCACTGTCTCCATAGCAGGCTAAATTCAGACAAAGTAATATAAACTGTGTTCTGTGAGAAATATCAGAAGTTTAGAGAGGGTGCTCAGTTGTTATATATTTGGGTTAATATTATATATTTATCTCTAATAGTGTACAATACTGTCAGTGCAACTATACATTATCAAAAAAAAAAAGGGGGGGTGGTGGTTTCAATTATTGTAAAGAGGGACAAAGATCAAGCTGTTTTGGCATCTTATATCTATATACAGATATAGTTAACTGTGTTATTTATAATTCAATAAATATTATTTAAATAATGAGGGGATTAGAATCAGGATTGGGACGTTCTACGTCAAGAAATTTAACATTTTTCTTTACAATTGTAGAGGTTTTTTTTATTAAAAAAAACATCTTGGAGCAGATCAAATCAAATCTTTCTACCAGCATATTCAATTTTCAATCTTTGAGAATGGGATTGTTGTACCTACTTTCCTTAAAAGAAATCTCATTTTTTTAAAACTAGAAAGTGTTCAAATAAGGCCAGCAACATATTTAGAGCTGTTAATTTGTCCATTTCTGTCCCCCAAAATGAGAGATATTAATTAAACATATATCACAAGGATTTCCTTTACCACAAATACATTCAGCTGGCTGAGGAATTCTGGCTGAGAAATTCTGGGAATTGCGGTCTACATATTTTCAAGTTGCCAAGGTTAACAAACACTGGGCTACAGAGTTATTATTACCAGAATTTCATAGCTTTAAAACATTTTGCCCTTCCCAATGTATATTTGTTTACATACCAGCTTTTGGTTATTTACATACCACAAGCAAGAAATTATTTTCAATCTTGATCAAAACATCTTTTCTATCATGCAATTTATGATTAAAAGAATAGCAGCAAAAATTCTATTACCTGCTTCCGAAATTTCATCCAAGTACAGGTTAAAGGCAGGGTTCCTGATACTTTGCACAATAGCTCTACTGATTCACCAGACCTTACTTTCTGGTCTTCTGGGAACTGAACAATCTGAGGAGGAAGAGCTGATAAAAAGAGGAAACATTTTTAAGGATTTTTTTTTTCAGAGGTAAAAACCACAAATATATTGAAGCGGATATATAAAATAGAAACCAATCGTTTACCCAGTCCCAAAGCTATAGCTAACAAAAATACAGGATCTTGTTTATGGTTATGATAATAGAATCCTTCAACCTCTACTTAATGATTCAATGCCTGCTAGCAAAATATATATCCAAACTAAAGAGTCAGTAAACCTCTTTTGAGTCAAATTCATGAATGATCATTCGTCAAAACTCAAAGGACAGACAAAGCTTTATAAATCTGTGCTGATAAATCAGTCCTGGAAATGAAACCTGTCAGTTTCCTTGGCATACAATTGACTATCCAGATCCTTCTCACCCAACCAAAGCTTGCTTTTGACAGGCATGGCGAGAATGCTAGTCCATTATGAAATGCACTAACAACTTTGCCAGACTGTACAAACCTTTTCCTGCTAAAGCTGTAAGCCCAGTCCAACTTCAGAAATTCTTTACAGGGGAAAAAGTATTCCAAGGTCATGCTGGCTATTCTAGCAATCATCCTATGTAAAGTAAAGATGGAGAGGATTCCGACTTCCATGGACAGTCCTCTTGATCTTAGGATCTTCTTGGTTTAGACCTAGAGAGCCTCTTATATTCCTTGCTTCAGATTTTAGGGGAACAAATCTGCTTTAAATTAGTTTATTTATTCTTTTTCCAATTGTTTTGGTAGAATAATAGGGACAACCCCCCCCCTTTTGTGTGTCTTTCTTACAAAATAGCTGGTCATACTGGACATGAGTGACTGATTTGACATGGAAAGTCATGAATTGTTCAGGTGTTTAGCTTAAGGACATATAAGCAATAATTAAGATAGAAAATTCACTGTGTTTTTAAAATGAAATTCTAAGCAGAACATTATTCATGTTTCAATTTGTTATCATCCATTTTCCTTATTTTGAGTAATCTAAAAATTCTAGTAAGAAGATGCTTCAGCATTCCTTTTGTAGAGAATGAGGTTTCTTTAAAATAGTATGTTGAAGTATACAATATATACAACCTGATACCTTTAAAACTGTCTGATACCCAGACAGTTTTATTCTTTCACAGATAAATTAATTAAGGCATTACAACAGGATGTGGACAAGGGAAGGATGGAGAAAAGGGCCATCACTGCATATGTTCTGCCAAGTGATTAGCTTTTGTTACTGGAAGATCTAATTACTGTAAGAATTATGATTAAACTTAAGAACTTTGGTATTTCAATTCTGGTTCAATTGTTTTGCTTATATTTTTTCCTTTTATTGACATGTGCGTGTGTGTGTGTGTGTGTGTGTGTGTTATACAATGGAAACTTCAATACTATGTAACTAGTTCAAAATCAAAACTTTTATTGTGCAACAAATACTTTGATGTAATGTGTGGCAATATCTTTTGTTTTAATGTTGTAATCAATCTAGTATGGAAAACTCAAATAATTCTTAATTGTAATTAATACTTATATAAAAAAGAATTATGATTAAACTTAAGAAATTAGCCTTGACTTTGCTTTTTAATCTTTTCTTTCAGATTCCTTTGTCTTTTTGTTATCCAGACTGTAGGCCTCTGAGATCACATATAAATCTTTCAGCAGAATACAAGGTTTAAACATTTTCAATAAACACATACTGTCTTGAACTTCCTACACATGGCTCACAGTCTTCTCCATACTAATAGTGAGAAATTAATACCTGCTTTGGGTGGAGTCTTTGGAGCTGGTTTCTTCTTTACAGTTGCCTCACCTAGTAAGGAAAAAAAAGTGCAGCTAGTTCAGTGTGAAGTTCACATGAATGTTGAAACTCTTACTTATCCAACAAATCTTATATCTTATTTTAGGCAAAATCTACTACTTATAAATTATACTTTAAGGATGAGAACACTGGTAATCTCTACACAAGAAGAGATTCCTAGTGGGAAATAAATGTGTACACAGGTCACTGTATGAGATAACAAAGGCAAACTACATAACAAAGTTTATGATGAAGCTCCCAGAAGCTCTCTCAGCTTTCTAAGTTCTTTATTTAGGTAAGGTTCAAGGGAAAAGTAAACGCTAACATATCTCTTCTTACTGAGGACCTTTAAATCCAGACTTTTTAACTAAAAGGAGAAGCTTATGCACATAAAACATTAGGCTGCAACACTTTCCTCACCACCACCACATCTATAACGAAATAGAAATAGAAATCTTGACGATGGCCTTGGAGAATTAATAGAAATATTTCTATCCTTTCCCCTGTGCCTTGTCTCTTGTTCAAACTAAGGGAAGGAGATACGTTTACTTTTTACAAAAGCAAACAAAAAACAAAATAGGAATTTCAGATATGGAAGTTTTCAGCTTAAGATAACTAGGAAAGATAGCATGCATTCATAGAAACTGGAGTCATGACAATAAATATTTTCTGTACATAGTGTAATAATGAAATAGAAAAGAGATAATGCCCCACACAAATCTTGCTCTTAAACATATTTCTGCAACCAACAGACTGAGCAGGCTGACCAAAATATCCTAATTAAAAACTGAAAATTATTGAAATTCATTTACTTTTCTATATTTTGTGCTAATGTCCAGTGTACCTGGAAGTTTATGAAAGCACAGGAAGGATATAAAAATTGTGGAAGGATGGAACACAGTCCAAGGATCATATTGAATGCATCTTAAGCTTATGTAGGGTACTCATTAATTTGGTAAATATATATTTTTTTCTGTCTCACATATGCACACAATCTGTCCCTCTCTTAAAGGATATGGGAGTGTCTATACATCTCCAATGATGTTGGTCTTTAGTGATCAAATACTCATGGGATATCAGAACAAGACTGAAGAAAAGCTTTCTTTAATTTAGCATGTTGTTATATAGCCTCCCATTCAATCAATACAGCAGCAAATATATCAAAAATATCATATAAACATATAAGAAGTCATTATTAAAAATGAAAAAAACCCATACAAATTATATACAGTATGGAGTAATCTGACTTTAGGTACGGGGGTTGGGGGGGGAATGTTTCATATGGCAGCCGTCATAGTCAAGAAGGGCCCCACCAAATGTAGATCCTTAGCAACATGCCTTCTTTTCCAGATCTAATGAGATGGGCTGATATAATCGAGAGGAGGCAGTTCCTCAGATAATCAGTCCCATGCCATGAAAGATTTAGTGTCATCTATGTGTGTTTTATAACTACCTCCATCACTAAGACTCAGGTATTCCATTTTAAATGGATGATTCAGGACAGGCATTTACATCCTGTTTTTTGATGAAAAAAAGACAAATACCCCAACTCTGAATCATTTAATGAAACAATTATATAAAACTTCATTTTAAAACTTCATATCATTAAAACACTGTAGCTTTAAGCTGAAGAAAAGTGTATATTACATGGGAGAAAAATCTACCTCCTGGGCCTGCAGCTATGAAACTTTTGTCATGCCATTTACTACAGTCCCATGAGAAGAGATGTTCAGAAGAGCCGTGTTTGTTCCTATCCCAGTCTCCTTCTCCTGTTTCCCTTTTCAGGCATTTTACTAAAAATAGAAATGCAGAACTCCCAACTCCTCTAACCTCTCAATAAATAGCTCTCTGTGCAGTTCCAGCCACAGCAAATCCACAAAAACGGGGAAAAAATGCATGCAACTGCACAGAGATCATTCTCCATCCACATATCCTTAAAACTCTGTTCCACCAAGACTGCTTCACCCAGACACAGGTTCCCCAATGGGAAGTCTGTGCCATGAATGTACTCGGCCCTATGTACCGTGCTGCAAATGTACTCTTTCACTAACCATTTCTATTTCATGCAGAAAAAAGGCAAACAGATAGTTCAAAGGCAGTTCAGGTTGTTTGTTCACAGAGTGCCAGAGTAAATTTCTGAAATAATTTACCATCCAAAACAAAAGAAGACAGAATGAACATTGAGATAGGTGAAGGCAGCATTTGGCTAGTAATATGAGAAATAAATAGTTTAGCAGTAAAAATAAGAGGGTTCTTGAACACTGAAAGAGCCCTGGTGGAGCAGTGGTTAGAATGCAGTGTTGCAAGCTAATTCTGCCGACTGCCAGGAGTTCGATCCTAACAGGCTCAAGGTTGACTCAGCCTTCCATCCTTCTAAGGTCGGTAAAATGAGGAGCCAGATTGTTGGGAGCAATATGCTGACTCTGTAAACTGCTTAGAGAGGGCTGTAAATCACTGTGAAGTGGTATATAAGCCTTATTGTTATTGCTATAGTGTGAGAAAAGCTGCTGTCAAAGAAAAGGCCAAAATCCTGGAGGTGCAGATTATATTTTCCTTATTTTCCCATCTAGTCACTAATTAAAGCTATTAATTAACTCCTGCAAGTTTTGAAAAAGTTGTTCTGGAAAATTTATTGCCTTGCAAGAAAATGTAGCATTTATAAGCCAGATTGAAGTGAACATATAAACAACCAGTTTATCCGTTTTACAAGAATAATCATGTTGCTGATGCTTGGCCGTCTGCCCTATTTTGCCAGGTAGGAAGAGAAACGATTCCACAAAGTGTCTGATTACAAATCATAAAATTCTAATAATTGTATAGGTAATTCCTATTTTTTTAAAATCAAGGCAATTCTTCCTAATATACACAAACACACATATTTCATTTTGAATGTTTGTTTTTTAGTATATCCTCTCCCTAGTACATAAAGTGGAAATAATCAAAACAAAATGAGAGTGAATACATAAACACACACACGTGTACACATTTCAAAATGCCCAGAATAATTTAATATTTTAGTAATGATCAATTGTATGAAAAATTCTACTACAAAATATCAGATGAAGACTCCATTGGGCTGAGCTCTATTCCTTGTGACCACATGATCATGTCCATGTACTTTACCAAGCAAAAATATGGAGGTGGTTTTCCACATTTTCCAGGAAGGTTTTTTCAATTCTTCAGTTTAACTCTAGCCCCAGGGTTTTGTGGTAGACTTCAGTATGATTACACTCCTATTAATAATGTGTTGCTCTGTCACTTGATGATGGTCTTCTACAACGAGTTCATATCTCTGACTATTCAGATCTAAGTCCTATGATGTTCAGTAAGGCTTAATGCCAAGTACACACTGGTAGAGTATAAATCTACCGCTGCCACAGAAATAAGTGATAAAAATCCAAAATACATCTGCAATTCTACCTTCCAAACTTATTATTTTCCTTTGTGTTTCTTTTTGTATTTGGGCACTTTTTCAAACAAAAAGTGGTGGCTCAGCAGACTAAAAGCATTGTGATTAACACCAGCTGCCTGCAATTACTGTAAGTTTGAATCTCACCAGGCTCAAGGTTGACTCAGCCTTCCATCCTTTCAAAGGTAGGTGAAATGAGGACCCAGTTTGTGGGGGCAATAAGCTGACTTTGTATAAATATACAAAAGTATTAAGGCTATTGCTTAACGCATTGTAAGCCACCCTGAGTCTCCGGAGAAGGGCGGCATATAAATCAAATTTTAAAAAAAACAAAAAACCCTGGGGTAGAAATGCCTACTATTTTTATTTCTTAAGAAAGCTCATAAAGCTGTAGAAGCTTTCCTATACACTAAAGATATTAGATATCATTAATTGTTCTGCAGCATGTTAACTTCATTAAAAAAAATAATTAGTTTAAAACGTTTATAAAAAATTAAATATGATTCCAGAAACCTGGTGGAGCCAAGGGAATTATGTTGTCCACTGTGGATTTCTTCCTATCATATCTACTAGTGCACAGTGGTGTAGTTTGTGTTTATGTTGTTTTAAAAACAACATAAAGAGCCACTGGAAATCATACCACAATGAATATGTGGGGAGGATGGCTGTGCTTAACCAATCGGCTTCGAGCCTCTCCCATTTACCTCCATGCTATCAAGAATTTCAGTGAAATTAAGTGGGGCATAGAGCTGCTCCTCCAACTGAGACATCCAAGCTGCCCAGGGGTGGGTTCTACTTACCTTTACTACCGGTTCGCAATGGGGCCACACACACGCGCTTGCTTTGCTCGTGCGTGTGCTCTTCTGCGCATGCGCAGAAGCGTTCTGATGACGTTGGGGTTGGTGGGCGGAGCCTCCCACCGGTTTTACTACTGGTTCTATAGAACCGGTGCGAACCAGGGGCAACCCACCACTGAAGCTTCCTCACTCAATGGAAAGTTTATCGGATTCAAAATTTTCAAACAGTTCCCAAAGCGTTGAGAGCAGAAGAGGAGTTAAAAACAAGGGAAAAGCTAATTTTAGCATGAAAAAACAACTGCATTCAAAAATTTGATTAAATATTTTGTATCTTTATCAAATATCTTTAGAAAGGATGTAAGGAACTATTTAGTTAAGGGTTCCTTCAGTTTTCAGATGAAATTACTGCTGTTGTGGGAAGCTATGTCTCTGAATGAACTCTGATTATAATATCCTTAACTAAGATTAGCCAAGATTTGTTGCTTTCCAAGTCATTACTCTTCTCCCTATGAACTGCTCCCCACATTAATATACAGTATATTATAGTCTCCACCTCCTAGAACACATGACTGTATTGCTGTGCTACATAAGTAAAGGAAGGGCAAAGTCTTCTGGTTAAATGAGCAAAATACTTTTCATGAAGCCTGCTTTGACGTATTTTCTTTCTTTCTGAGCCCAACATGACAGCACAAAACTTACTCAATAACCTCTGACCCCCAACTAACTTGCCAACTTGCCTTTTTGGACTGCCCTGTGAGTCCTCTATTTCAGTTCTCTAAATTGAATGCAACTTGCTTCCATTACTT